GTTGTAATGTGACAAAATATGGAAAAGTTCAAGGGGTATGAATACTTTTGCAAACCACTGTACAACATTGCTCTGTTTGTGCCGGGGCACCGGATCTTTGGGGTGAACCAGCCTTTGCCGTAATGTGTTTTGGGGTTTGAAAGCCACATCATGTTTAGAAAATAAACGTTTCAGTTTCTCCGGAACACCTGCAACATACGGAATAACCACTGGTTTGGGGTCTTCATTTTCACCTGAAGGTTGCATGGAGTCCTGTCTGTGTTTCCTGTCTGCTTTCAGGAAAGCCCAGTCAGGATAACCACACTGCTGCAGGGCCTGTCGTGTGTGTGATTTCTCTTTCTCCCTGGCTCCTGGGTTTGTAGGGACACTGCCTGCTCTGTGGTACAGAGTCCTGATCACTCCTAACTTGTGTTCCAGTCGGTGGTGGGAGTCAAAACGCAAATATTGGTCTGTGTGGGTGGGACGTTTTATTTAACGTTAATTTTAGAGAATATTTCTTCTTCCTTTCTCATTCCTCTGAAGAAGCCACACCTGTTCAGTGTTTTTCTAAAAACTTTAAGCTGCTAAATGAGGCCTGCAGAGTCCAAAGTGGAGCACTGTTTTGTTATAAAGAGTCTAAACCTCAGATCATGCTCAGCTGATGAGTTCCATTTATTCTTTCAACCATGAAGCTGCAGAGACAGAGCTTCTGACAACTATCACTACACGCCTGCTGATGGGATGAACCGAGGAGAAATCCTAAAAATGAAATGAAACATTTTAATACAATGGAGTTTATTAATAATTATTTTATTCTGAAGAGAAAGCAGATGACTGATGTGTGGGTCTGTGTCACTGAGATGTGGCCATGATGCTGGAAACACCTGTGACAAACAAAAGAAATGAGACAGAAGAACCTTTGAAGCTGAAACAGAAACCAGAGCGTCACCTCAGATCGGAACACTCACTCTCAAAGTCAATCTTCTCCACGATGTTCTTGGGCTTGATGCTCTCCTCCTGGTTGTAGATGAAGATCTGTCCGTCCTCGTTCTCCGTCCAGCCGTATTTATTCATCCACACCTTTATTTGTGTGTCTGTGCAAACAGGAAACAGGTTAAACTTTTTATGTTTTATTCTGAAAGTAACAGAAAACTTTAGGAGGGAAAACTATTTAGGAGGCACGAACCTCCTGCAGTGAACAAACGTAAGAAGCAAACCCTGTTACATATACATATTTATATTTTTTAAGTACTGCTAGCTTTCTGTTGTGATCAAAAATCACGTGATGCATGTGCGCCAGCTTCACTGTGAAGGAGGCTAAGCTAAGAAGCTAACAGGAAATCATGTGTGCTGTAAACAACCCTTCTCAGAGGAGAAATATACCGAGCCGAACGAGACGACTGTAAATGAGAGCTGCTGCTTTGTCAGACTAATTTAATTTAATACGGAAGCCTTATCAACACGGACTGGCTTCATTCACTTCCTCCACTGTCGTATGCTAAACTAACTAGCAGACTGCGCAGAAAATCAAAGTCGTTCAAAACTCCGCCTTTTGTTCTCTGATTGGCCCAGGTGAAATTCTCCTGAAGAAATCCTTGTCTATGGGAGAAATCCCAGACGGTGCAGTGAAGGGAAACTAGAACTGAGTGGAAGTGTGTAGGAAGGCAAGGGCCAGGCTACATTAAATGTGACGGGCAGAGGATTTACTGCAGCAGTGAAGGGGTTATAGATTGGTGGGATAGGTTTACATGTAGTACGTACACTGTAGAACCAGAACACGGACTCAGTCATACTAAAATACTACAAAAAATTCACCTTAATTTTATTCTATTAATCAGAAGATCAGTGTTCAAACTGAGTTTTCTGATTTCTCTCAGCTACCACAGTAGTTCATGAGATATTTTGCCAACACTCCAGACAAATGCATCACTGCCCACAGCCAGAAAAGGCAGGTGAAGATGTACAAATACAGGTGCTGGTCATAAAATTAGAATATCATTAAAAAGTAGATTTATTTCAGTAATTCCATTTAAAAAGTGAAACTTGTATATTATATTCATACATTACATACAAACTCATATATTTCAAATGTTTATTTCGTTTAATTTTGATGATTACAAATGACAAC